CATTTAAGCTCACACCTACTAATTCAGGGACTCCATCCAGTCACCTCATTCTCTGTCATCCCCTTCTTCTTTTGCCCTCAATCTTTCCCAGCATTAGACTCTTCTCCAGTGAGTCCTTCCTTCTCATTTGGTGGCCAAAGTATTGAAGTTTCATCTTCAAGAACAAAAGTACTTATATTCTTTTCTTTAATCAAAGTGATCAATTTAACCATTTTTGCCAACTCCATCAACTTCTGTAACCATTCATCCAGAGTGGGAATCTAAATGTCCTTCCAGTAGTCTTGCTGCCATCAACATATATAAGATCACAGTTCCAAAAAAAATTTGCAAGTCTTTTTTCCATTAACCTATTCATTGATTTTTTTGAGCCACTTTAGCTGGCCTAATGTGTACCACTTCTGTGGCTGATCATTATTCTGCCACACTAACAAGAGATAGTGAATGGTGCTTAATTTACAGCAGGACAAGTAAAAAAAAAAGATTGATGGATCCCCAGATTTAGTTTCTCCTCCAATATTCACCCACTAATGGAAAATAACCATAACTCACCCTTATGTGAGTTAGGTGAGTTTTAGGCATGCTTTGAATGATAGGTTTAGCCATCACTTATCAAATTGTCCAACTAAGAGGCACTAAGGGTATATTTGGAGTAAAAGCAAGAGAGAGTTCTTCCAGTTTTACTGAACATTTTTCTGAACACTGATATTGCACTTTCTGAAAGAATATTAAACCCTGTCCTAAAGAGCCTGGCTAGCAGATAACAAACTCGAGGAAAAGTGAAGGAGAAGTAGAAGAAAGCAATTGATTGATAAGCAGTAAGCTGCTTCTTGACCAGGAGAGAAGCAGAGTGACAAAGGAGTTCAATTTATTTTATTTGTAATGCTGCCTACTCTACAAATCATTCAAGGTAGCATAGAGGACAAATTAAAAACACATTGTAACAGTGAAAGTAAAACTCAATAGCCAGCAAGCCCAAATGCCAGAAAAGAACCATGGAAAACACAAGTCTTAGGGCTGATTTTGATTTGTTTATGGTGAAAATGACAATAACCACTAGGGATCTACAAAATGTTCTCTGTACAAACCATTTCATTCACAGAAGAACTAATTTCAGGTTGTCCATACCTTAGTGAAATACAAAGTTTTAAGTGGTTTGGTCTGTGTATGAAATCAAACAGGGTTGTTTTGTCCTGATGTAGACCAAAGTATGACTGTTCTGGGCAGATTAATTTAGGAGGCGCATGGTTGGCTAAAAGAAGCAGAGGAAGGAATACACTAAGAAGATAGGCTGGCAAGGCAGTCTGTTGCAATATCTATATTAGGAGCTACTTCCTTGCAGCTAAAGAACAGTAAAGAACAGAAACACAGTTGTTGCAAAAGCTGAGGGAAGGAAAGAAAAGTCCTGCAAAGATTGGAGGGGGCATGGGCCTGCCAGGCATGCTGAGAATCTGTGGCAATGGGAATTAAATGAAGGGAGAAACATTTGTATGTTTGTGTGTGTGCTAAGAAGGGTTGACATACATCAGCTGTGCCTTATAATCCCTAAAGCCAAAGGTATTCCTCCGTATTTTTCATCATCTGCATATCAAAACAACCAAACTGCTTTGAGCTTTGATTCTGCAGACAATCTGAAAGGATTTGGTTGTACTTCCAGAATCCAGTGGTTTCTTCTGGATTGGATATAAAACATAAATCTAATTTTGTATATATCCGTAATCACCATAGTTATCTATGCAACAGGCAAAATGGTGCCACCTGAATTAAAGGAGCGAGAATATATAACCATGGTGGTCCTATTTCCTATTGTCAGTTGTACAGCACTGGACTAGAGCTCTTTCAAAAGAGTACAAGACCCATGTTTGAAATGCTCACCAGGGTTATGGCGGGAGATCTTGCTTGCAAGCTGCTTTATTATGAAAATTGCAGGTATTAAACCAGTATTTTTGATGCATGCAAAGTACACTTTAGCATGTCTTGTTCTTCCTCCATTGTTAACATAGAGCATTTATACCTATTTTGGCAATCTTTTTTTTTTTTAGGATGCTTTGCATGTGGAATGGAAAATGGATTTAGAGTGTTTAATGCAGATCCACTCAAAGAGAAGGAGAAACAAGGTGAGATGCTTCCTCAGTATCCATTGCTGCTTTTCAATTCTAAATAATCCATTGGCGTTATGATCTTGTCTCTCAAAGTTTTGAAGAGAATCCCAAATAAATGTATTGTATTTTGCTCCCAAGTAACTTTGCATAGGATAATAGCCTTAAAATAAAATGTTTGATTGCCAGGGAATTCTAAAACTGGAGGGCAGTTCTCATTAACTATTCATGGCACTATTGCTTCCTGACTTATAATAGTTATCAATAATGTATAATAAAAAAAACAAATCTCTGAGCACACTAAGAGATAGCGAGAACATTTTCTCAGAAAGAGGCAAACAAAAATGTAGAGTACTGCATGTAAGTTTAAACATAATGTTAAGTCTGAAGAAAAATTCCCTTTATATTCTGACATTAGTAAATTCTGCATTGAATGTTTGACTTTATATATATATACATATATGCTTCCTGCTCTGTCCCTTAGAATTCCTAGAAGGAGGTGTCGGGCATGTTGAAATGTTGTTTCGCTGCAATTATTTAGCTTTGGTTGGTGGAGGGAAAAAGCCAAAGTATCCTCCTAATAAAGGTATGATGTTGAATATTAAATAGTAGTTTTACTCTTGGGTTCAGTCTCAAAACTGCCACAATGTCTATCTCTCCTGGGTAGTTACAATTTAAACAAATGTGGGGGCAGTTCTAACCTTTTCAGAAGGGAATAATGAAACCAGTTTTTTGTTAGAACAGACCCTGGTCTATTGTGCTTCTATTTACGACTGTTTTGATTTTTATTTATAACTAAATAATAAACATTGCATTTCTTAATAGGAGTACAGTAAAAAGGTGCAATCTGATTAGAGAAATGGATTGGACACAAGAGGAAAGATGGAAAAAGGTTTAAGAATAGGGTCTGTAAAACAATGTAGGAATAGCTCAAAGAAATTTAGGGTATCAAGGCTGGGGAATTTTGAGTTTTGTAACAGTTGTAAGTGATAGAAGTTTCGATTTGTTTCCATTCTGGTTGGATCTCACAAAAGTTGGGAGTCCAACAACATTTTTTGGAGATATCCCAGAATTAAAAATACACCTGTCCAAATATGGAATATGAATCTTTTGCTTTATCTATATAATGAGGTAATCTAGAATATAACTTCCTACTGGAGCTAGTCTGTCAGTGCTGAAGGTATTTGTTTTACAATTAATAAGATACTTCCTTCTCTGCAGTGATGATCTGGGATGATTTGAAAAAGAAGACAGTTATTGAAATAGAATTTTCCACAGAAGTCAAAGCTGTTAAGCTGCGAAGGGACAGGTAAGTGCTCAGTTTGTGGAACAGAAAGTTCCTTTTATTTATCATTGTTTTGATTTGTTCTATTAGTTAGATATTTTTAAGGAAGGAAAAGGCTGTGAGTGTTCATTATTTATTAACACACTCAACTGTTTTGAATATGATGGAACAAAGGAAGGGATGCTGTACTGATCTGCTTTAGCAAACACAAGTCATTCTCCGCCTTACAGAACCTCTCTGGCAGAAAGATCCATGAACTCCTGCTTTATGACAAATTCTGATACACTTTTAAATAATTTTGGAAGCTTTGCTGTAATAGCTGAAGCAAAAGGAGGAAAATTGATCTAGGGTTGACTCTAATGCTCTCTAGTACAATCTGAGTACACTATGTCAGTGCTTTTTCTCTTTCAGAATTGTCGTAGTTTTGGACTCTATGATTAAAGTTTTCACATTCACACACAATCCTCACCAGTTACATGTCTTTGAAACTTGCTACAACCCTAAAGGTACGTGGTCTCCATTACAGAACCATTATTGGCTCGTGTTTTTGTTGGCATTATGCTTGTGGAGGTCAATTGATGTTGCTTATTTGGCATGTAGTCACCTGGCATTTTTTAATTGGAAAGCAAATGCTCTGTTACTTAGCTCAGTAAGGTATGTCATCACCATTGCGTGGGGTGGAAGGTTTAGCACCATTTGTCTTTATCTTGGGGTTTGAAAGGAATCTTTTGGGAAGATTCCACTATCATATGGCACTAAATGTAATTCTGAGATTTTATTACTGCCAGGACCCAAAAACCAACAAAGACACATGGAATTACTTTTGAGCAGCGTCTTTTATTGCTCCTCTCCTATAGAGCGAAATCTTGCCAAACTAAAGCAACTGTTTGCAGGCTATAGATACACTCTGGGAATCATTAAGGAGGAATCTCCTTGACTCTCTTTCTCCCAACCAAACTTTCCATGCTTCACTACCTCTTTGCCCTATGGAATGCAGTCCTTCCCTCCTGGAATGCCAGACTACATTCCACCACAATTATACAGATATTAAAGTTTCTGGCTACATAATATCAATATATATTATACATGCAGAAGTATTTTTTGCTAATCTAAACTACCAATAGAAGACATACATGTATTTGTAGTTCAGGGTTGAACTATGTAGTTTCTTGGTGCTCCCTCAGCTTGGTGGTTGTCTTGCAGGCATTTCATTACCAAAGTAACAAGTGCATTGATGATGTTACCAAGTTTGGTAATGAAACATCTGCAAGGAAACCACCAAGCTCAGAGAGGACCAAGGACCTCACAGTAAACTTAAAGCGTAGCTTACTCTGTAAAATGGCTTGTTAGTCTGAGGACATGAAAACTTCTTTAGATGGGATGGTGTGAGAGATACTGTAGTAAAAATAACAGTTCTTTAATTCTTGCAATTATTTATTTTAGGTCTTTGTGTCTTGTGTCCAAATAGTAATAATTCCTTACTTGCATTCCCTGGAACACATACTGGACATGTGCAAATAGTAGATCTAGCAAACACTGAAAAACCTCCAGTAGATATACCTGCTCATGAAGGAATCTTGAGTTGTATAGCCCTAAATTTGCAGGGAACAAGAATCGCTACAGCATCAGAAAAAGTAAGCAAAATGTTTTGTTATATAGTTAACTAGGAAGCCACACAACAATCTTGAATGTGTTCATATAAATTTTAAATAGTGTCTTGATAAGAGCCTGCATGTTATTCTTAGATTTGTTTGTTTGTTTATAACATATATAGGCTGCTCATCTTACCTCAAGGTAATTCTGGGTGACTTACAATAATAAAATATAAATATATAAACTAAAAATATAACTACTGTAAGTTAATATAAAATCCAGAATGCTATGGCCCAATTAAAAGATGGAGAGGGCAGGAGCAGGATGGTGGGGAGGAGGTGAGATCCGTTCTTAATCAACCACCTCTACTATGATACTTCCCCATTGGGACCCCAACCCAACTGGCAGTCTTTAAGCTCTTCTAAAAGGTCAGGTGGGTTGGGGCTGAGGGTTGAAAAGCAAGATGTACCACAGGGCAAGTGCAATAGCAGAGAAGTCTCTTCTCCTGGATCCCATCAGTCAGAATAATCAGTGGGTCCACCTTAGATTCCAGGCTGTCATCAAGGCTTCAGCAGTTTATATTTTTAGTGTTGGGAAAATGGGAAATTAATTTCTAAAATCTCTGGATTATGATAAATCGACAAAGAGTGCCATACTCCCCAGTTAGCCATTGTTAGGTCTAAATTTAATTGTAAATGATCTGGCTTCTTTATATTCTTTGTGTAAGTCATCTAAGTGATTCCATCATTAGCAAGCTACAATTTGATCTTTTTTTAAAAAAAATAACATTATGATTTATCTCATGCAAGTGTAAAGTTACATCAATTTAAAACTTCAGTTTAGGAAAATCTTTAAAGCCAATTTCATCTATGTCATTCATGTAGCAATTCCTGCACACTCCTTTGTTAAGTGAGGATTTCCCTTCATAAGGCAAACACCTGTTCACAGCTTCCAACAACCAAAGTCAGTGGGGAAGCTGGCAAGAACTTGCAAGTCCCAGGGGGTCTGCAAGCAGGCAGATAAGTGGTTGCTGCCAGGTGGTGGGCTCTGAGTGGTGAGGGAGATATGGCATAGTGGGGTTTAGGGTGGCTGCTGCCAAGAAGGGGAGCTGTGGCATGTGTGCCCTGGGGCTTGAAATGGCTGCTGCTGAGTGGGGGGAGTAGGAATGATGGGGGAGGCATGAATAGTGCAGCAGGCCAGGGAGTGGCTACTGCAGGAACAAGTGCATGAGTGATCAGGGAGACGCAGTCGAAACTCAACAAGGCTTGGGAGCAGGGGTGGGTTCCTGCCAGTTTTAACCTCTTCTATAGAAGAGGTTCCACAAATCTACAGTGCCGTTTAGAACAGGTTCCAGCTCCCTCCCCCCGCCCGTCTGCACATCATCAAGATGAAGAGTGAGAGGAGGAATTCTGGGAGTTGAAGTCCACAAGTCTTAAAGCTGTCAAGTTTGAACACCCCTGGGATTTTTTTCTAAAGGGTTAGGGGTGCAAGGGTCTTGTAACTTGACAGCTTTAAGACTTGTACACTTCAGTGCCAGAATTCCTGAGCCAACATGACTGGAGGAGGAATTCTGGGAGTTGAAGTCCACAAGTCTTAAAGCTGTCAAGTTTGAACACCCCTGGGATTTTTTTCTAAAGGGTTAGGGGTGCAAGGGTCTTGTAACTTGACAGCTTTAAGACTTGCGTGCTTCAAATGCAGCAGCACAGGCATAAAAGAGTTGGGGGAAGTGCATGGGTAGGGTTACCTGGTTACCAACAGTCCAGATTATGATCATGTGACTGCAGGGGTGCTGATATGGTTGAAACTTTGAACATCGGTCGTAACCAGTACTTGATAAGTGCCATAGTATCTTTGAATAGCCACTGAACAAGTGATTGTTAATCAACAATTACCTGTTTACAAGTAAACTGGAAAAGAGTTTTAAGGATATTGAACTGGATTGTAACTAAGGGCACCTAAGTTTAATTTCCCAATTGAGTGTTAAGTTCATTAAATGACTTTGGGTCCCTATTTGTCAGCCCAGACCCCCTTGCAGAGTTGTTATGAAAATAAAATGGAGGTGACCCCTGTATATCGAAGTGGCATTCAGATTTATATACTGTTCCATGGCACTTTATAGGACTCTGTGCCAGTTTACAATGTAGAGCATTATTTGTATATTGCCCCCAACAATTTGGCTCCTCACTTTACAGAAGGACAGAAGGCTGAGTCAGCCTTGATCCCTGTTCAAGATTTCCTGCATTACTACACTTAACAAATGTGCCATGAGGGCTCTGGATATAATACTGAAATCTTCAGAGGAAACGCATTATAAATGTAAATGGCAAATGAAGTTAAACAGCAGTCTGTTTTGATCAGTTTGACTAGATCAGCTGGTCACTAAATTTTGTGGTGATAGGTGGACTTGGGAGAATGTTGGGACCAAATTGAGTATGTCCCTCACAGATGTTAACAGAGAGAAGTCTTACCTGTCCATAGATAGATGTCTGTCCTAACAGTTTCTGATCATAACACAGCATCAGTTTTCCTTAAAGGCAAAAGCAAAAATCACCCATCACCCTAAATATTCCTTGGAAATGAGGCCTGAGCTCTGATATGTTTATGAATTCAGTCTTCTGTTCCAACATCCATTTCACTGAAGGTCAAACTGTCAGTAAAAGGAGATGCAGGCAAGATGTATTTTTTGGGTGCAGAGGCAATATATGGCTATCTGGAAGTGCATGTAAGAGTTAAAAAGACTGAAGAATTTATTGGTTTAGTATCGCTTTCCACAACTTCAAAGATTGTTATTCCTTTTCAAGGGGACCCTTATAAGAATATTTGATACGTCATCTGGGCATTTAATTCAAGAGTTGCGCAGAGGATCTCAGGCTGCCAATATATACTGGTAAGTTTTGCTTTGCGGAGTAATCATTAAAGCAGTGTTTTTCAACCTTTTTTGTGCAAAGGCACACTTTTTTCATGAAAAAAATCACGAGGCACACCACCATTAGAAAATGTTAAAAAAAATTAACTCTGTACCTATATTGACTATATATAAAGTAATTTTCCCACGGCACACCTTACACTATGTCACGGCACACTAGTGTGCCACGGCACAGTGGTTGAAAAACACTGCATTAAAGAATGGAGGAGTGATAGAGAATTTTTAACTGCATATGGAGAGGATGGTCCCTGTGACATTGAATGCAAACTATTTAAATATCATGCCATTTCCATTTACAATTTGTTAATGTTTAAAATTATTTATTGATTCAAACTTGTCCTGGCCCAATTCCAACAGATCAACAGTTAAATAAGAAGTAGGATGTCTTTAGAAAGCAATTTGTTCCATGACAAACATGGGCTAAAGAGATATGTCGCTTCTGATCTCTCCATTAGTATAAACTTCAACCAAGATGCTTCTCTTATCTGCGTGTCAAGTGATCATGCCACAGTACACATTTTTGCTGCAGAGGATCCCAAAAGAAATAAGCAATCAAGGTAACGGGGTTGGGTCTAGCAGGATTAATGTCAAGTTAATGACCAAGAAAGTTTGGTAGAGATTATTTGCCATGATAGTGAAAGGAAATCTTTATGGATGTGAAAACTGTCTCTTACTAGCCCAAAACAATAAACTAAAAACATTTCCAGAAGGGAAGGAGATTCCCTTGCACATCTCATTTTTTGATGGAAACTGTTCCTGAATATTGCTTTTCTGAAAATGTATTTATTAATCATTTCATTTACAAATGGTTGAAATGTATTTCATCTTCCTTTCAACTTATTGCCTTTATTAGAGCATTTGTGTGATTACTCTTGAATGTTTTTAGCTGTAGATTCTGTGATTTATCCAACATTCTTAATAACATCCCCTTGATATTTTTGCTATAGTTGATTCTTGTGGTCCTGTTCTTTTCGGATTGACATATTGAATCTCTTTGAGTCATCATGTTTGCCCAAAGCTTCATCTTTTTTTGTCAGTTGATTCAATTACATTCCCTTGAGGACTTCAATTCATAGTTGGGTGAATGCAATGCTGGCCTTAAGCCTTGAACTTGATTTTGCTGTTCCAATAACATTTGCATAGTTAAGATTAACACAACTCCTATAATTGTTTCTGGAGATGCCAGAAATGCACATTTTGTCCCATGTGAGCCCAAGAAATGGCAATCATATTTTCCCCTTTGCATCTGGATCACTACGTTATCCTGGCTGCCATAAGTGGACAAGATTTTGGTACTGTTAATTTATTTGCTGAAAGCAACTGCTGTTCTCTACCCTTGACACATTGCTAACTGTATTCTTGTGGTTTTCTTTGTTTGCCAGCCAACTTTAGCACCATTTATACATAAAAGTTGGAATGGTAATTAAATAAGCTTATATAACCAATAAATAACAAATAATTGCAACTGTCAGCAGCTGCTAGCATCTATTTTATTTCTGTGCCTGACTTCAGTAGGTACTCAAGAATTTTTTTTTAATCTCTTAGCTTAGCATCTGCCAGCTTCCTGCCCAAATATTTCAGTTCCAAATGGAGTTTTTCCAAGTTTCAAGTTCCCTCGGGTTCTCCCTGCATCTGTGCCTTTGGAACAGAGCCGAATTCTGTCTTAGGTAAGGGTCCTGATTTAATAAATGCTAAATTTTTATATTTTTATATTTATATATATTTATATATATATACACACACATATACCAAAGTCCTCCGACTTTACCGCAGAGTAGTCTGAGATTCCAATATGAAGTTACATGAATTATGAAGCTGTTAGGGATGGAGCAAGCCGTGCAATAAAATGGGAGGTCGGTATAAATAGTCTGGAGAATTTAACTTGATGCTCGATGTTGACATCTTCCTCTTCTTCACATCTTACATTGCAATGTGTGATTTTTATAATTGTTTTCATAGCAATGACTTGAAAAACCTCTGTCTCTCTCTTTTCCTAGCAATCTGTGCAGATGGCAGCTACTACAAATTTTTATTCAATCAAAAAGGGGAATGCTCCAGAGATGTTTACGCTCAGTTTCTAGAAATGACTGATGACAAACTTTGACTGGACAGTTGGGAAGTATGGTTTGATGGGGCAAGTTATCAGAATCTCCATCCCAATTCTTCTCCTGTTGAAGAGACAACTTCTGACTTGCTAATTTGATGGCACTCTTCAAGATGGGATTGACCTGGTCAACAATTGGAACAAGGCAAAGGACTGATGTTAGCTCTCCACAGTTGGTTTTCAGTGTTACTTTGGCAGCTGCTGTTCTTTTTCTCTTCAAGTTTCAATGAGGGTTCTCCCTGTTAAATATCATGAAACTGAGTACCTGCCACATTATAAAGTTGGAAAGAAAGGTTATCAAGAGTTTTGATCAGTTGAAGACTCTTCAGATTAGATTCAGCAGGCAGGTTAATTGGAAATGGCATCCCAGTCATTTATCAGCAGCTTTTGCATTTACAGATATTGTTTCCTCCGAATTCCCAGACAGAAACTGTAGCAAAGTTGCTCTGAGTTGCAATAACTCAAAACACAGAACAATCAAGTCTGTTTCGATATTGCTGTGAGTAGGTATTCATGTCATGTATCAGAGGTGCCAAATATTCTATAGCAACCAACATCAAGTGCTGTTAACTCAGTGATTCTGCCAGGTAAGAAGTGTCAACAAAGAGGACTTACAAGGCTGTGTTGTCTCCATCTAGAATGTAATCATTCCATACTATTAAAATTTAGTCCTTTGTGTTCTGGTACTTATGTTGGGGGGGAAAGGGGGTTATAATAAAGTTCTGTGATAGGGAGCAGATGCCAGGCTCTGCTTCCATAGCCTCCAAGATTTATGTAGTCAAAATACACTAAATTGATGCCTTTTTAGAACAAGGGATAAAGGGACATGCCTAATTTTTCAAAGCCCTTGGAACACATGTATGTGACCACTTAATTTTAAATTATCACCACCTTACAGCAGTTTCAATTAATTTCATTTGCACACATGCTTCAAAATTTATTGAAGGCTTAATGCATTCAGCTGTAAAGCACCCAAACTTTTCACTTAATTAAAATCTATACTCAAATGTGGGTTTGCATGTTGCTTTTAAATGTGTACTTAATCATGAAAGTTATTTTGCACATCTTTTGTAATATTCTTTAATTAAAAGTGACTAATTTACTGTATTCAGTTAATTGGAGCAAAGCTGATGCTAATTTTACTTTTTTATTCTTAATTTTTGTAAAAATGTGTTATATTACCTGAGATTCAACTCCTGTCATCCATATGCAGCTCCCACTTAGTACCCAAGATTCAGACCTCTCAAAATGTTTAGGAAGAACTATTTTCTCATTCTTTATTAAAAATATGAAGTTCTTCCTTCCTCCGAGATTGACAGAATTCAAGAAATACAAATCTCACATTTTACACATGGGGATTTTATTTTATGAATTTACAAATTCATCTTGAAAGTACTATAATAGTCTGCTCATACTGCCCTTCAACTTGAAGGGAAATGATGTTTACAATCAAAGTAATATGTTGATGAACTTGGATTTTCCGATTTCAAAGGGAAAAACTGTTGAGGTAAATGAGTGTTAATGTGCTGCACTGAAAGCTGTCTGAAGTTCAACTTCAAGTTACTAATTTCCATTCACACTGCTTTCAGTACTGGTTTGTAAATAAACTCTATTTATAAATAGGGTATTCATGACATGCTAAGACACTGTTGGCTACAGCCCTTTTTAAAAAAAAGGGGGGGGGTGACCTATGCAGGATCAAAGCTATTCCATAGGAGCCGAGAATGAGCATTTCCCAATCTTGGGTCTCCACAGTTTACCCCGCCTTCCAGGGACTGCAATACAAAGAAACCTGCAATAATTTCTTCCTGCAGCCACTCTTGCTTCTCTGTTTAGAGGCCCAAGGCTAAACCACTACTGTTATTACTTTTCATTGTATTTGGAATTGTTTACATTCCAGAATTCATATTGATGGGAGAGGGCTTTTAAACATTAAATACTGCTATTCAGATGACAGGGCCATTATTCAATTATCTAAATTTAAACCATGAAAACAAGCATTGATTTACTCATATCAAATATTAAAATAATTCAATGTAATTATAGTATAATCTGTTTGCTAGGTTTTTATGTCACACTAAGAATACATGATTTAAATTCTCAAATTGCCTCTTATTTCTACATTTTTGCTAAAATTTCTACATCCAATTTAAATAATTTTTTTGCCAAATATATAAAGCATAGAAGCTATTCATGAATGCTTATGTGACCTCAGACTCCTTAAGAGCCAGACCAACTTCAGGATGCTTTAAGACAAACAATGTTCAAACAGTCAAGCCATTCTGCCTGATCCAAAATAATTCACACAATAACATGTGCCAGCTCTTTACGTTTATACTAGGCTTTTCTAGAACAAATTATATTGGCTATATATTCTAAATTGAGCTTAAATGGAAATAATTTGGATAAAGGAGACAAGGTAGTAATAATCAGGTTCACCAGGTAAAATGACTTAATATCATTTGAATATGCTAGCCATTGGGTTCATATCATTGCATTAAGGCTTAAACCATTGTATGGTTTGTTTTGTGTTTTAGCATGTGTGAACCCATCCAATTGTGATTTATTCAGACAATTCAACCTGTCTGAAAAGAGATTTGTAAACAAATCTGTTTAATGAATGAAGAGATAAATACCTAAACCTCTTGCACATTATTTCCCTCAATAGAATCATCCTAGGAGTGAGATGCAACTTCTCATTGGGTTATATGTAGTTGGCTTTGCAATGTAACAATAATTTACAGTAAGTAGCATGTATATTTATGGACAGTATCCAATTCATGTTGTGTTAGGACCTGTAAGGGAACAAAGAGACACAAATAACAAAATCTGTTTGCTATGATCAGATAAACACCAAGACACGTGATTATCAGAATCCAAAACATAATTGGGACATGATTATGTCATCTATTGCTAAGGACATTAGTGCATTGTTAGATTGGATTCATGCATTGTAGTAATTCATAATAATGGAATTTTATTTGACATTAGCTTCACATACTGTACAAACCCAGCTGCTAGTTCCTTGGCTGCTTAAAGGGAAAAATACTTATAAGTACATACGGTAAAAAGTAAATTCAGCAATTCTTGTAAGATTCTATTTTTTTTCCTTTGTGTCTTTGAATCACTTAACTTTTGGTGACTACCTATAGTATGATTCCTTGCAGTTTTCTTGGCAATATTTTCAGAAGTGATTGCCATTGCTGCCTTTTTCCAAGAGCTGAGAGGGTTTGCCTAGCCCAAAGTCACCCAGCTTGCTTCCTGTCAAAAGTGGGATTAAGATTCATGTTCTTGCAGTTTCTAACCTGATGCCAAACTCGCTCTTGTAATAAAATTCAGCACACTGCAATTTGAAATATTCTACATTTCATGTGCTATTAGTTACAGTATATGTGCTAAGAAATGCAATCGACCTACATTCTTTCTTCATATATATCACAGGAAATTTAACTGTATTTAGGTTAATGTAGTTTTGTTGACAAAAACAAGTGGTTTGCCATCAATTTCCATGGGATTTTTTTCTTTTTGGATGCCTCAGTGGAATCTATAATTTTGGGATTTTTTAAAAAAATGATTTCTCATCCAAGTACAAGCTCTGACATTGCTCAGTCTTTTATGAAACCATCATCTAGAAATCTAATAGCTGATGCTACACCTGCTGTTTCCTGACACTGAATTTACTCCAATGAATAAACTACTGCTATGATATACTACCAATAAAAGATCAGATTTCTTCATCTATGAAACAGTGACCTTACTCTCACATGCCCCAGTATCTGAGGGACAACTAAAATGGTATCTCTGTCATTTAAAATGAACTTAATTAACAATACCCTAAAGTATTTGGAAACCAATACAAAGCAACAAGTTCCGAAATTCAGTACAATCAGCTGTTAATACAATGATTCTTAAAATGTTTGATCCAATTACCCTTTTCCCATTCTCGAATAAGGCCATTACCCCCACAAAATGCTCAAACTGTTGCCTTACAAAAATATTTGGCAGTAGTAGTTCCAAACTGGCTTCTCAACTCACAAGCAATTACAAATTGCTCCATCATCCTAAAGATTTGTACAAAACATTAGAAAGACCCACTGTGTAAATATTTATTGATACCATTTTCTGATTTTCTATTATTTTGTTATTTTAAGAATTACGTATACTTTTTCACTGTACCACTAGCTAATTTTAAATCTTGTGCTTTCTGGTAAAAAAAAACAACTAATAATTCCCCTCATTGTTAGTGGATGATAAGCAATATTACTAGCCCTACATTCTATAATTGCGCATCTTAGTTCTCGCTTTGTATGTGTACTTATCATACAATGCAACATGAATGAAACAGTTATAATATTAAACTAAGATTTATCCAGTGTTTATTTTCATACAAACTCTTCGGTTATAGAAACCGGAGTGTTAAAATTTTGGTAAGAAAAAGAGCAATATTTGCAGGAAAAGTTCCCAACTTTAAGTATGGCTGTTTCTTTTTCCTGTCTGCTAGGCAGATGGAATTATTTTTAAATAAAGCTAAGACAAGTATCTCAAACATCCATCACAAAAGTAATTTGGAGATCATAGCATTGTGTTCATGTCCACTGCTTGACTCCTGCCCTGAATGAAGGTTATTTTCACATGTCTGCCAATGTGCCCTCAAAATCTGAAACATGGGTTTTCTTAAACTTCTAGAACAGATTTTGGACAGCTTGGGGGGAGTGGGGAGGAGGAAAGTATCTGTTGTCATAGAAGAAGAGCTATGACATCAGAGGAGATAGTAAATCTGCCTTATAATTTACTCTTCAGCATTCACATATTTCTAAAAATGAAATAACAGGAAAAAGCAACAATTTCTGGAACATCTTGCTTAGGTTTAAAATAGCCATGAAAGCAGAGAAAGAAAGGTAAGAGCAATAGATTTAACAGTCTTCAAATTAAATTATTTTGTATTGACTTCTCTACCTAGTTCATAAACTACGAAGACTACAGTGACATGAGAGAACTTCAGTATAAGTCATTTGATTGTCTTAAACATTTTACCAGATTTTTTTATTCAAAAACTTGCATCATTTTTCCTAATTATTCATGAAATAGCAATTTTATAACCAAATGTTTTATTAATAATGCAATATCATTACTTCTGAATTAGATGGCCACAGCAGTAAAAGTAGAATGCTGCAGATACAGAAAATGTTTTGTTTCACCCAGCCATAGCGGCTGTTATAAATTCAGCTAGTGTACATCAATTTTTCATAATCTGTTTAATATGTATTATCTTCATTGACAGTGTAACAGCAGCTCTACCGTGTGGGATAACATGATACTTGGTACAGATTTCTCATATTTGGTCTTCTGATAAAACATTTCCAAAAACTGACTAAAATTGTAAGCCATTCCAAGCTATTTCAGTCCATCATCAAAATACAGATTCTTCTTGAAATGATAAAAACATATAAATTATAGCCCAAAAAGCAAAAAAAAAAAAGCAAAAGACAAATCAAAGGTTAAAGCCCAGTCTTCACCTTTAACTCACCTTAAATATGTGAAAGGGACTAAAGAACAGTCTCAGCTGTTAGTTTAGTTCAGTAACAAAACATGAATTCTTCTTTCACAACTCGGAGAAGAAACCTTTAAAATATTCCAACCGTCAAACATATTAAAAAAAACTATTTCATTATACTATAAGTAGCCACTGTTAGAAAACTACAGTGGCCACTCTTTAATGAAGACCTCAGAAGGTCTCGTTAGGACATCAAAAGTTAAACTCATTAAGTTATATTTCTATTGGTGGATGCTTAGCTTAAAAATATTCAATATATCTCTGACAAGATATTTTTATCTTTTTAAAAGGACATGTGATAAAGATTTTTTTTTCTAAATGAACAGTGTCATTTTAAACATACACAATATTATGCGACTCTTTTTACTTTAGACTGGAAAAAAATTGCCAGGGACAAAGTCAACACAAAGTAACAAACAGCAAAAGATAGCAAGAAAGAGAAACAGATAAGTGCAGCTCTGGTCAAATTCATAGCAGTTCTTTACGTCAGTTAACAGTTCATTTACACTGTATTTCTAATCAGTAACATGCAAGCCCAAAGAAGCATTTGATCACTACACAAGGTAATAAAATTTGATTAAGTTTATCAGGCAACTGCTAAAATATGAAAATTTGCAGATGTAACAAATTAGCTTTATCTGAACTTTAACAGGACAAAATTAAATCATTCCATTGGTTAAAAAACCCTACATTCGGTTTTACCAAACAAAATTTCACATGAAAAGTAGTATGTGATTCCAAAGTTTCTGGAGTAGAAATGGAGTGATCTGAAATGTCAAAGACCCCATTATTTTGAAAAAAAAATGAAAGTACACATCAAAAATTTCTAATTCCACATGTGAACAACAAAATACTGCATATCTACCAACAACTGCATTGGGTAGGTCATTATGAAAGGCTAGCTGCCAAGATGTTGGAAATGGCTCCTTGCCTCTGTTCCCTTTGAGGAATATACAATCATTTGAAATCCAATCACGTGAAGAAGAACTTATCATGCTGGGATATATTCCAATATTCAATCTTTAAAATAGGTTTTTAAAGTTGCTATCTTCCCCAACTTTTTCCTCTCAATGTATAGGTATGTATAGAGTCTCTTCGGAACAGCAAGGAGAAATGGAAGGGGGAGGGGTCACAGCCTCCGGACTAGGATCTTTTAGACTATTTTTTTTTTAAATTAAGGAGTTCTAAGGCCACCTGTGTTTCTCAGTGCTGAAAGATGAAGTCACAGGGCCCCTTTCCCCGCCATGAGAGAACATGTTCAAAAGTTTAGATGTTTAAAGGTCTCATTTTGGCACCAAGGACCATTGTTTTTAAAAGAATTATTCCTCCACATTCCTAGTTCTTGTTGCTTTGTTCACTCACTGCCACAGGTGGGGTTTCAACATTCACAGCTATGACTATGTTCTCCCCATCCTCTGTTTTGATCCGTTTTAAGTCTTGCTGTTCAGACTGATCTCCATTCTGACGTTTCGTTGGAAGAGAGGCGGATGCAGATGCATGAGTTGCTAACATGTGTAATGGGCTTGCAGCAGCTGAAAAAGAATTGAAGGGAAGGGAGAGAATATATTAAACCCAAACAAATCACCACTAACCCTTACCCTGCAACCAAGTATTACATTACCTAAAATACACAAATCTCAGATTAAAATTTGTTCTAAACTCTTCTAAAAAAGTCTTGCAGCACTTGAACTTACCTTAAAAGTATATGGCTAGATAAAAGACGGTACTTAATCATATAAGAAATTAAAAGCAATAGCAGATCAGCAGTAAATTTCCAAAGATGACTAGGACAACTTTCAAGCCACAAAAGAAATAAGTTTGTGTGGCCATATTCAAGGGACTCTATCTAAGTAGATAAAGGTAGTCCTTGACTTACAACTGTAATGGAGCCTGCCCATTAAGGTCACAATTGGTGACAACTCTTAAGTGAAGCAGCCTCTGCTCTCCCTGATTCCACCATTAAAGGAATGTGGGTTGTTACCTAACGGGTGGGGGAGGCCCTGAGAGCTGCTTTCCAAAGCAGCCTAGCAGCCTTTTTGCTACCTCTGACTTCCTTTAGATCCAGCTTCTACCATGGTAGTTTGGAGCAGGTTTGTGCTTCCACTTTCCTTTTGAGCTGAACTTTTTCTTCAGCTCTGCAAGGCATCTTATGACATTGTAGGATGCAGGACATAAGTTGAAGAGGTTTTTTTTTTTTGCCAATTAGAACTATTTATCCAATGCCAGTTGCTAATTTAGTATGGAAGAAAAATGAGATAGGCAAAAATGTTTATGACAAAATTTGTAGATTTAGACTATAAATAACATCCAAATGGAAGTTACATATTAATAGTCAACAATATGAGGAAACTGACGAATTTATTTTGGATATTATTTTTACAATTGGTAATTTGTGACGAGTAACACTCAACTTAAAATGCTTACCAGTGTTAGCCTGACTCTGCATTGCTGTGGTGATAGGTACTATGTGTGTTCCATTTTGCGTTACAGTTTTTATTGGTAGCTGGTGTTGACCTAGAGGTGCTTGTTGTACTAGAGTAACCGTTTGTAACGGTGTAGTCTGAGATGTCTGAATGATGCGACTGGCAGCTCCTAGAGTTGTATGGCTAACTGCGGGTACAGGTTCCACTTTAACTAGAGAGAGAAAAAAATAGGTACATGTTTGAAATGGTAAAAGTAGTAAATAAACATCAAAGTCAGCGTATCATAAAAGAAATCAGCATGAAATTTATTTCAACAAATCATTATATTATTTTTACCTTTCATTTCATTGTGATCTCCATTCTCTTGAGGTTCTCCTTTAGGCTGGGCCATCACTGCAGCTTGTGTAACCACTGCTTGCCCAGCTACAGTATAAGTATTTGCTGGTGCTAATCCAGTCACATTTGTGACAGATACAGCTGGGATTTGATGAACAACATGAACCGTCTGTACTACAGGCTGCTGGGACGTAGATGTTGTCACAGGAGTTGCAACAGTGTATGTGACAGGTTTCATAGTTTGTGGCAGCTGCCTCTGTACAGTAATTAAAACAGGTTGGCTAGATAAGGGAGATCCTATAAAGAAAGGTAAAAATAAATGTATTACAACCTTTTTAAAAGAGCCATGATCCCGCCCCCTTCAAGTAATCTTCTAACTACTCAGAGATTAATCCAGTGGGGTTAGGAATTATTACCTCTTCAACAGTCACATCAGGTTAAAATTCAACCTGATTTTTTTTAAAAAAAACTTATACATAAAATGTTGTACTGTTATATTTCAGTGACAGAGTACACCCACTGAAGGTGCAACATATATTTTTCATTTTCTAGCCCTTCTAGGTATGTCTCAGAAAGTTCTTTGCTTTTCCCTTTCTGCAGACTTCATTCTATACTGTTTAATTGTTAAAAATAAAACAATGCATTTACAGGTAGTCCTCAACTTATGACCATTCATTTAACAACTGTTTTAGTTTCAATGATGCTAAAAAGGTGATTTACAACCAGTCCGCACATTTATGAATGTTTTGGCATCCCTGAAGTCACATGATCAAAATTTGGGTGCTTGGAAATTGGCCTGTATTGATGATGGTTGCAGCATGCTGGGGTGTGTCACATGACCTTTATCTGTGGTATGGACTATAGCGAGAAGATTCCCCAGAAGGGAGGAAGTGCATTCCAGAAGAGTAAGAGGCAACGTAGCTCAGATATCATGTGTGAGAGAAAGGGGGTGAAGCCAGCCTCCTAATAGTTCACAGAGTATATACTGTAGATGCAGATAGGAGAGTCCTCAGTCTGGCAAAATTGATTTCAGGCTCAAAACCAAGAATTATATGGAAATAATTCCAAGATGGGTTCTTTATTGTTTTCACACCTACAGATAGTTTCTGATGAACCTATGGTCTTCCAACTTGAAACAGGCATAACACTGTAGGTAAATTTGAATCCAATACTTCTTTTCAGCATTAGAATTTGCTGCTGCTGCCAGCAGTAACCTCAGTGGGAAAGACTTTGATCCAACATCAACTTATTGTTGAAACCATCAAAACTTTCTCTAGTGCTGATGACAATGGCACTGAACAATTCTAGTGTCGAAAAAGTCTGCTTAATTCTTCTTGGTTCCAAGCTTACCTATTCCATTTTTTTAAAAAAAGATTCATGGTGGTCTAATTGGAATAATAGCCACTTTGGATACAATAAGTCTCCTGCCTCACCCCCATTTCATTACAATCTCACCTTTACCATGCATTCACCCAAGGAGGTGGGGAGAGATAGATAGTAATGAGGTAGAATACCTAGAGCTCTAGAGCGAAAGACCACTTTATAGACTCCCATCCCTCTGCAGGCTATCAGAAAAATTAACGCTTTCTCCTTTGAGGTTTACATGAACTGGCCAGGATGTTAGTAATCTAGTAAAATGGGGTTTGGGGGGGTTACCTGGGAGGGAGGGGAAGGGGAACCAGGTGGCACAAGTGGCAGGCTGGTGCACATGAGCACTAGTGAGCTAAATTTATGAGCCGTGAACTGGCATGAATGCACATGCAGCTCGACTTGCACAAGTAGAGCTGCATGAGTATGCATGAGCATCAGCCCACTGCTCATACAAGTGAAGCTGGCCATGTATATGCACCAGTTCACTGCTCGCATGGCCCAGTTTCAAATAGGCACGGCCAGTAATGAACCATGGCCTGGTGGTTGGGGACCCCAGTCTACATGGTTCAGAATTTTTGCTGTAATCCAGCAATGTGAAAATGCAATAAGATACAGAACTGTGCTATTTAGAGTTGGGAAGCAACAGCGTTCATCACAGCTTATTTCACTATGAATTTATCAGCCATTATTTAGTATGAGGAAACATTTATATTATGCCTTATATATTATATATTTATCCAATCTTTACCTCTAATAGCTGAATGGGCATAGGCATAATCCTTGACTTTATTCCTACAAAACCAGCTTTGTAAGATAGGTTGAGCCAAATGTGTGATTGGCACAAAGTCATCCAATGAATTTTCATGACTAAAGTTGGACTTGCATCTGGCTCTCACCCGCCATAGTGCAACATTTTTATACTACATAACATTGCCATCACTAAGATAATATATTTTATTTTCATGTAAAATTTCTAGAATCCTTGTATCTTAAATCATCCACATAATCTTCTTGTGTGTAATTTTAGTTCATAAGCATTGCATGAAAATTTCACCTGGGGCACTCTGTGCAAATCGTGCTTCTTGTATTACTGCTAATTTTGGCTGGATACTGCTTGGCTCAGGCTCCATTGGGACAGGTGACCCTTCCCTTGACAGGCTTTCTGGGGTTTGCACACCACTCGAATGAGCAGATAATACTCCAGAATGATTAGGAGAAGCTGGGGCACTTCTGCAAATAAAGAACAGAAATGGCCACTTTTAGATACAAAATTAACAACTATTACCGTAACCAACAAAAAAATATCTGATCTGTACACATTCCAGAGGAAGGATTTTTTGCTGTTTAAATAGCAGTGGATGTTCTTAATTATAGAAGCTTTATAGAGGTAACTTAAAGGCAGGCAAAGTATTTATTCAGAAGTACAGAATGAGAAAGTGGTATAGATGGGCCAGAAATTAATGAGAATTTTAATAATAGAAACACATGTCCTACATTCTATATTTAAAGTGAAATGCTTTAATCTTGGTTTTTCCACTCAATGTACTTTCATATCTTCTCTAAAGCACAAGACTTATTTTAAATAAACAGTTCTTCACCAAGATGCATGTTTCAGACAATGCCTAAGTAATAAATAGCAGTTTAAACAAAATTTAAATGTAATTCAATTGAAACAAGAAATGAAAATGAAATGATATTTATACTCCTCACTTAAAGCTATAAATTCCATCTTTTACTCACTTCTAATTCAAGTCTTTTTTGATTCTTTAAACTATTAATTTAACAAATTATTAAATTATTCCAAATACTTAACAGGATAAAACTATTTGTCAATTTTGAAGTTTCCAAGCATGTCTTTTTTGTGAGAACATGAACATAAAATTTTCATAGAGAATATGCTTCTGGGGAATTGTAATTTGGAACATAAACACAACGTGTGATTGGAAAAGGTTAAATACTACGTATTACTGTCTTTTCTCTCCGCTGTTTTCTTCAATCCCAAGCACTTTTTACAGGTTTTTCTTCTTTTTTTAAAATGGCTGAGACTATGAGGAAAATATCAAGTGATTTGTTTGCTAAAAGTAAACATAGTCTTTCTTTCATTAAGATTGACTTTTGGTGACTATATGGATGCAGTCTGAAAGATGAATATGTTTCTTGGCAACAATATAGCAGTGGCTTGTTACTGCCTTTTTAAAGAATTTAATTTTTTATTTTCCAATATTGTCTACAGGCTGGGAATCTTTTTATAGTTTCCCATTAAAGTACTAACCAGGGCTTTCTGCAATCAGCTCAAGTTGACTAGATGATTCTATAGGTTGCAATAAGTGTTTGTAAGTAACACTAAACTGTGAGCAGGCTGATTACACACCAGTCTCTGGTCATGAACCAACTACATGTGTTACAGCACTATATGTACACTAAAGGAATAACTATTCTCAGTTACTGCTTTTATGATTCCTCAACTGGATAGCAGGTTGGAATATATTATCTCCACAGTTCATAACCAACTTCTTACATTCCAGTATTTTAAGATAAGAAATGAAACATGCTGCATTTACAAAAACACAAATGGCAAAGAAATTAGCATGACTAGAACAGTGGAAATGTTCATTCAGCAAGAATTAACCCTTTCTCTCCCAATTAACATAACACATTGAATAAAGATTAAGTAAGACAGTCTAGGTTTGCATAATAGGCTAAGCCACAAGAAAATCTAACCAAGATTAGTATTAATATGTTATGTATGCATATAAACTGAATAAATAAATTAATAATTATATTTAGTATATTATGCAAATACATTTGCTAGATCTTTAAAGTGTGAATACAGCCGATAACAACTCCAGGGAACATTTCTTCCTTAGTACTGCAATCAGATGTAATCATAAAAGCACCATCAAACCTCAAGGAGAAAATGGTAATAGTTTCCTTTGTGCCCCAATCATTTCTTTATTTGATAAACATCTCTGTTTAGACAAGCAATGATCATCCTTCAGTCAATAGACCCTGAAGTGCACTTAAAGGAAAGCCTCTGCACTGCTATGCTTAAGTTGTCGTCCTCAATACCTTACCTAGAAGAAAGAGGTCCCAGTGGGGTTCTAAAGCAAGGTACTCCCCTTGGCCGCCTTTTTCTAAAAGCCTGTTCTATTAATTTGCTTTCAGAGGCAGGATCTATCCTCCAGAAGGAACCCTTGCCTGGTTCTTCCTGGGAACGTGGTACTTTGATGAAATAACGATTCAGAGAGAGATTGTGACGTATTGAATTCTGTGAGTCATAAAAGAAAACAAAGAAATCATCCATCTCAGTATTAAGTTGGAATACATTCTAATAAAAAAAATCCCACTTAGAACGGCTCACATTCTTAAACTGCTTTCTTATTCTTAGGTCCTTGATTAGGACTTGAAAAATTAAGCTCCCACCAGTTTTAGACTGAGTGTGTTTAACTGTAGACAATCCACATACAACAACAACAAAGTTCTGCAAACAGAAGTAGAACAACTGTGGCAAAAAAACAAAGATAGTAAGAATAGTAACAGGCATCTTGGATACAATCCCAAAACATCTGGTGTATCACTTGGAAAACCATCGGCATTGACAAAATCATCATCAGTCAATTGCAAAAGGCAGCTTGGAACAGCTTACATTCTGCGGCGATACCTTTACCACCATCAAGTAACAAATCTGCTTATCCCAGATCCTTGAGAACAACTCAGCAGGTGGATAAAATGCCAAATCCAGTTTAAACATCAGGTTGATTGTACAACCAACCATAATAATAATAATAAAAACCCTTCAAAATATACAGTCAATATATGTTAATGTGAGCAAAACAAGAGGACCATAGACTTTTTTTCAGAGTTCAGACATTCAAAAGCAATAGAAATTAGGATGAATCTATAGTAATATACAGTTATTGAAATTGGAATGAATGTTATTTGATTTGATAAATGTAAGCATCCAGTAATATGAGCACATTGCACAAAACAATGCACATATGACATTCTATACACCATTAATATTAAACTGTTTAATTTTAATATATTCTTTCTATATGTAAAGATATCTCAACATCAAATTTTGCAATCAAAATTAGATTGTATAGAAATAGAAATGGCACAATTTGCAACTAAGAATTAAAAGTTATGAAGTAAACTATTTTATGAAGAAATTCTACAGGAAAGGAATAGTTTATAAGAATAGGTAAGAACCTCAAAGTACCATGTTTCCTCTGAAACATTACAAAGCAACTCCTGGTTTAGACAATCAATTTTCAGAAAATGCAGCTAGACCATTCCTGAAGTAACTAGAATGATGTGATTTTAAGAAAGAAATAGCTCTCCAGAATTATCTCTCCAAAATAATCTACCCAAATTATAGACTTTGCAGATGCCTAACTTTAATCCACCAGTTTGCTCATTTCATTTAAAACAATATTAATAATTTTTACCTGCCAGCCCTTGTCTGCTGTCCTGTAGTAAGGATAATTTTTAGTTATGTGCGTATAAATTCCATTTAGTGTAAGTTGCTTATCAGGAGCCATTGTAATTGCTTGTACAATTAGTTGTGCATAGGAATAAGGTGGCTTTGAATCATCCTAAATATTAAAAATAATAACATAATGAAAATCGCTCATCCCTCCAGGAACATTAGAAATATAATACCAACTTTATAATTTAATACAAAGGACATTATCTCCTAAGAGATACAATCATGCACATTGAACAACTTTTTCATTTTATTATGTATTTGCATTTTCAATTTTATCACATACAGAGCTCTGCCTGCCAAAATTCATTCCAAGTGTAAAATACCCCTATTGTACTTTACTGTTACCATGCCCTTTTTCTCTTAATTATATTCACCCTGCAACTCCTAAGCATATTGTTGGTCATCTAGGGACTAAGCTCAGTCTAAAATAACTAGAGAACAGTAGTTTGGCCTACCTGTGAACTTCAACTAATCAGCACACACTTTCTTTGCTCAAACATGCTGCTTCCTGAGTTTACAGCTCTCTACTTGCCAATCCACCCATTTCTATGATTTATAAATAGCAAAAAAAAAAAAAAATCTTTAAAAGAAGCACAAAAAAACATCATGTAGTGCATGATTTTGTTTTTCTGTATTTGTGGCCATTTATCTTTGGGTTCACAATTCACTAATTGAGCTAGTCTGCTGTTCATGTAGGGGCAATTAGCATATACTCCAAAAAATACAGTATATCATTAAAATTGTTACGTTTGAATATGCTTTTCTCAATTTAAATGTGGTAAAAGAAGAAGCTAACAAAATGCCTTGGATTTTAATCAAAAGAATCTCACCTTTGGGCTATCTCCACCAGATGCTTCTTTATCATTTTCTGACTGTGAATTGTCAGCCATAAGATGTAAGTCAGATGGTATTACACGACCCATTTTGTACCCTGAAGAACCTGCACCACGAGGACTAGATGGACAGGAATTTGCAGCACTGTAAAACAGTATGAAAAGAGTTGTCTATTTCATCACGGAATATATATCATTGTAGCCAGTAATTTCCTTCAGCTACATGTAATTTCCTGAACAAATATTCTCCAGCTATCTGGGTTATACTAACATTAGTAGGGAATGACAATTAAAAGGACACAGATATCAGGATATATATTTATAGGAAAATCTTTGCAAATATTCTATTCCAAAAACAATCCCTTGAGAGACTAAAAACAAGTTTAATTCTAGATTTTCAATGGCAATTAAATTATGAGCCCATTTAAAGAAATCAGAAGACCAGAGAAAGAATATACTCTTCTGCCCTCAGCATTATTTGTCTCAGTAAGGCTAGTTGGCAGTTAAGCACTATCACTACATGGAACTGCCCACTCAGAAGTCACAGTTAGTCCACAATGCAGCAGCCTTGCTATGCCTATATAACACCTCTGCTTCGTGAACTGCAGAAAATATTCAAGATGCTAACTACTATCTATAAAGCTCTGTGTGAACTAGGACCAAGTTATTTGGAGAACATTTGTCTCTAATAGTATCTGCCTACTCTCTATGATCAGATAGAATGGTTTACTTCAGGTCCTAACAATTAAACAATGGCATTTAGTGGGTTAGAGTGCCTGGCGGGTCCCTCTAGTTTTGGAACATATGAAATATTTTTTCAATTGTTCCCTCAGAGCAATTTTTAATATTACATTGCTTTTTTAATTATGTGAAGCCATCCATAAGTTACTTCTGGACTTGGGCAACTCACAATCAGATGAATACATAAAAGTCAATAATAATACATAACAGATACATATTAAGTCCCCAAATGTATACATTTATTTCTCTTCATATAAGGACCCACATATGTACATTCCTTATTGTCTAAATAGGTCAAGCCCACATTGAAATTAATGAGACTGTCACCACCATCTCTAATTTAACCAAAAATGATTGCTGAAGTTTCATCTAATGCCAATAAACATGATTAAGTGGCATTAAAAAAAATCAAAAATAATTTGTTCCAAGGATAAGTTAAATGTGATTGCAGAATTTAAAATCAGTAATTAATAAAATAATTACAGATTAATATCACATTTTTGTAGTTCTAAGATAAACCTAAATATAGCAACACAATATAAAAATACCTGATGGTTCCTGTGGGGGAGGGAAGAGGGCTGATCAAGTGAGCCATGTTGTCTGGAATGTTGATTGTTAGGGGAGAAATCTGGGGTTGTACAGGTTTCACTGGGGATTGTGGGGACTCCTGTTTTTCTCTCTTTTCATTGGATAAAGCTGTAAATGTTATCTTGATGTTTGTGCTGGGAAACCTGAATGTACACCTGAAAAGTAAAAAACCAAAGGTGTTAACTAACTGAAATTACGGTTTTCTCTATTTGCGAAACTTTAATAGCATTCATATTAATAAAAATAGTAAAAAAGAAAGTATGTTCAATTGTTATAAAGCTACATAATGAATATATTTGTAGTAAGTACTAAATATAAGTAAGTGGTAAATATAATCACATTCATTTAGAAAATTGTTCTTTTGTGGATTTTACTTTTAATTTTTATATACTAAAACTGCAATCAATAATCATTTAATAAATTCTGAAGTGGCATAAAAAACAGCATGAAGGTTGTTTGATAATGATTCCTAAATCAGGAAACAATGAGGCTAATGCTTTAACAAACTTATTTTCAAAGCAATGTTGTACTATGTTTCACAAAACTCAGATGATTAAGAATAGTACAAAGACAAAGTGGAGCATCTTTGCTGATCACATTCATCCATCCTGATCCACCCCTCCTTCCTATCTGGATTTGTGTTTGAAAAAAATCAAAAATGTAAGTGTATTAAGGGAATTTTTTTGCAGTCCTGTTTCTGCCACTGAAAATGTTAACAACAGTCCAATACTGACATATGGGTCTAGTATATGACAACAGGAACATCTCTTCCCACTTGAATTGGCCTGCCCTATCCATGCTGACAGAGGAGGCACAGTGTGGGCCCCATTGGCCAGGGAATTCTAGCTGGTGGGGTTCAGGAGAAAACCTTTCTCTGCCATTGAACATGCCCTTTAGAATATCTTGCTTCCCTAGAGTGAGGTCAGCTCCAACCTCCTTACCTTTGGTAACAGTTTAAAGATCTGGCTCTGCCAGTTGGTTTGGGGCTCCAACAGAGGGACTTCACATTAGGGGTAGCTGAATAGATTTAAAAAATTCCACCTCCTCCTCTTCTCAGCATACTCCTTCCCTTCATATTTTTAGCTACACTGATTTTATAGAATTCTGTTTATATTATTATACAATTTTAACTTTTAATATTGTAAGTCACCCAGATTTACTCTGTGGCAAGATAGGCGGCTAATAAATGTTACAAATAAATAAAAATTGGCATATAGGTCATTCTGAACATATCTATAAGGATTTCTTCAAAACATAATATGAAATTAAGATTAAGTCAACTGATGGAATCCTAAGGGAACCCACCCCATTGACTAAGGCTAAAATATGTGAAGATTTCCTTACTTTTTTTTAAGCCAAAATGGTTTACAAATACTATTTAAACAGAAAAAAAATCTCTCACACAGTATTAAGGCCTTATAATGATATAGACAGACTCAGCATTGCCTGAAATATAATTATTTATAAAATTTCACCTCCATATCAGTTGGCCCATTATATCATTAAGTTAATTTCCTTTCCAAACATATCAGGGTTTTTTTTTCTAGAAAAGAAAAACTAATTATAATTATAGGTGGCCAACAGAACTTTTAGATGATGTCTTAACCTACAAAGACAGAATTGTATAGCAAATGTATTGAATGAATTGTTTTCTAAATAAAATCTACTGTATTTAGATGATATGCAAACACAACTTTTATTTGCCCCATTACTTGAGAGAGAGATTAAACCAATAATTTTAAAACAGGCAAGTGGTAAAACACCAAGATTGGATGGATATCCTAAAAGTGCTATAAAAGCTTTACAGACCTTTTAGTGCCAAATTTTGCCAATTATATGATGAGATCTTTGATAAGGGAATTGCATCTGCAGCATTCAATCAGGTTTATATTAGTTATACCAAAAGCAGGTAAAGCCCACACTCTGGATGCTAATTATCATCCAATTTTAAATACTAACGTTGATACAAAGATTATTAACAGCAGTGTTAGTAAATACTGTTTGTTATTAAGAGTTATCAGTATCAGAGTGTATAAAAACTAGGCAATCGACCAACATTAATTAGTTGTAACTTTAACTGATTTGAATAAAAACAAATATCATCTTGTAATTTTATTAGATGTTGAATAGCCTTTTACAAAATTTAAAATCAATACATGTTTGTTGTATTAAATCAGTTCAGATTTCCTTTGGAATATATAAAATGATTATATTATATAGTACTCACATCTAAAGTAAAGGCTAATGGTATATTCTCTGCTACTTTCCTACTATTTAGAGGAACTAGACAAATAAGTCATCTTTACCCTTATTTTTTAATATCTGTATGGAACCTTTGGCTTATGAAAACAGCCACCCCTGTCCTCCCCTGTCTCTTGGAGTTTTCCGAAATTCATATTCATTGTGTCAATGATATTATCTAACCATCTCATCATCCTCTGCCACCCCTTTTTGCCTTTTCCAATGAGTTTTCTCTTCTCATTAGATGGTTAAAGTATTTGAGCCTTAGTTTCAATATCTGTCCTTCCAAAAGAACAGTCAGAGTTAATTTCCTTTAGAATTGACTGGTTTTTTATTTAGTTTTGTATTTTAACTTTCTTCTGAATAAAATAAAATAAAAAGTAAAAAAAGAATTGATTGATCTCCTTGCAGTCTAAGGGACTCTCAAGAGTCTTTTCCAGCACCGCCATTTGAAAGCATCAATTAATCAGCACTCAGCCTTCTTTATGGTCTAATTCTCACAACCATACATTATTACTGGGAAAACCATAGCTTTGACTATATGGATCTTTTGTTGGCAATGTCTCTGCTTTTCAGTACAGGTAGTCCTCAACTTATGAGCACAATTGAATCCAAAATGTATGTTGTTAACAGATATTTGTTAAGTGAATTTTACAAACTTTCTTACCACAGTTGTTAACTGAATCCCTGTTATATTATTAACACAGTTGTTAAATGAATCTGACTTCCCCGTTGATTTTGCTTGTTGGCGTGATTTTAATTGCTGCTTCCTGTACAATGTAACAAACTTCCAACCATAGTTCTTCAGGAACTCTGTCTACCATACCAATGGTAGGATTCAATTTTTTTTACTATCGGTTCTGTGGCTTGGTGCGCGTGGCAGGGGAAGGATACTGTAAAATCTCCATTCCCTCCCAATCAGCTGGGACTCAGGAGGCAGAGAATAGATGGGGGCAGGGCCAGTCAGAGGTGGTATTTATCAGTTCTCCGAACTACTCAAAATTTCCACTATGGGTTCTCCAGAACTGGTCAGAACCTGCTGAATACTACCTCTGTACCAGACCTTTTCCCTTAAATCTATTCATCACATCCACTGTATATTCAGGGATGTCATTTAGATCATATCTATTTTTTTCCTACTTTCTTCAATTTAAGCCTGAATTTTGCAATAAGCAGCTCTTGATTTGAGCCAATCAGTTCTAGGTCTTGTTTTACTGACTGAACTTCTCCATCTTTGGCTGCAAAGTATATAATCAATCTGATTTCAGTATTAACCATCTGGTGAAATCCATGTGCAGTCATCTCTTGGATTGTTGGATAAAAGTGTTTGCTATAAACAGCATGTTCTCTTGACAAACTCTGTTAGCCTTTGCCCTGCTTCAGTCTGTGAAACATTTGTTAAGTGAGTTTGCCCCATTTTACCATCTTTCTTGCCACAGTTGTTAAATGAATCACTGTAGTTGTTAAATTAGTCAAGCTGTTGTTAAGTGAATCTGGCATTCCCATTGACCTTGCTTGTCAGAAGGTTGCAAAAGAGGACCATGTGATCCCAGGACACTGCAACCATTATAAATATGACTCAATTGCCAAATGTCTTAATTTTGCTCATATGACCCTGAGGATGCTACAACAGTCGTAAGTGTGAAAACTGGGCATAAGTCACTTTTTTCAGTACCATTATAACTTTGAACAGTTACTAAATAAATTAACGTAAGTTGAGGACAACCTGTATACACTTGAATATTTATATTATACAGGTGCATTCTTTACTGTTGACTGCTATAACAATATATTTTAACTTCATTCTCGTCTCGTTTTCTTTTTTCTTTTTTGAAGTCCTTTTTACACTATTATTTCTTTGAGAATGTATGTATTTCTTTATGTTTTATTTTTTTATTTTGTTATTACCATTAAACATCTTTTTATTAAAAAAACAACCATCTGGATTAAAATCACTTTGCTCACATGTATAAATTTCACCATCCTTTACGGCTTTAACCCAGGAAAAATTTAAAGCACCAGATTAACAGAAAAAAAAGTTTCTAAAGAAACAAAATACACTGCATCTTTGCAGTCTAAAAAGAACACTTAAAAAATTGCCTGCCGGCTGTAGTTACTGTAGAAACCGAGCTCTTCATCATTTTCTCCAAGCTGAAGACACAAAAGAGTTAGAAAGGAGGGATCAATGGGAAGTAGCTTATAAAGTTCCTTGTCACATCAGCTGCAGGGAAATCAGACATTAATTCATTAAACCTACCATGTAATGCTTCTGGAATTTGAGGCTCCTCTATACAAATACAAAAGAAACTCTGCCTATGGTAACACTACAGTATTTGGTAATTCTAAAGACCAAGACTAAATACAGGCTTGTTTTGTGTTGGTTAAATTTTATCTTCAACCGAAGATCATGAGCAAATATAATTTGATAGGAAGAAGACAGCATGTCTATACTTGCTTCAGATTTCAAAAAGCTTCTTTCAACAAGTTATACAAGTTACTCAAGTCATTTCTCATAAGCCCTAACCCAACTTTCTAGTTTTCATTTTATCATTCTTACTATTTTAATACAACAAAACCTATACATGTTTTTTTTTCTATTTACAGAATCTGTAGGATTTCCAAACAAAACTGGCATTACAGGGTTGAAAAAAGTAAAGAAACAGAAAGCTATACTGAGATGAAGAGAGGGCAAACTGGTTCACATTCAGATCTCACAGATGTCAGGTAATAATCTTCAGGAAAGTGGCACAGCACAAAACTAGATACTTGCTGTGAGAAGTGTATTTCTTTACAAGAATGCCTCTAGACCAGTGATGGCTAACCTTTTCCTGACCGAGTGCCCAAAGCACACACATGTGCACCCCCAAAATGCAATGCATGTGCGGCCCCTATGCATGCATCCTCATGCGCAGCA